TTTTTTTTCCTTCCTGGCATTCCTTTTAAAGCAGCTGGGTGCCAGGGGAAACAGTTTCCAGGTATCGACAGTGGACACCAACTCTCTATTTCCCCTCCATCCTCTTCTCTGCTCTTACTGCTGTGTGACAGGAGAGGCAGAGACCTCACACACTCTCTGTCAAATCACTAGCAGAGCGAGACCAGATGAAAAGGAATCTAGGAGAGAAGACAGCCAGACAGACGGACAGGCTGAGGGATGGGAAAGTGTTCTGTATGCCTCAGTAACCCTGAATTGCTTTTCTGATTAGAACCTGTCATTGCGGGCTCCCAGTCTGCCCTCAGAATCCCCTGTGCTGGTGCAGCAAGGCGTGGAATGACAGGCAGAGGGGGCAGCAGGTCAGAAGAGACATGATCCCAGAGAGGAGGGAGCTGCATGAAGTTCATACTGAAGTGGTGCTAAAATAACTCTCCACGCCCTCTGTCAGACGATGGACAATCACAAGAGAGTGATGTTGTCCTTTCGGCCACACATGACTGCACCACGCTTTAACAAGCTGTTAGCAGCCCTCAGCACTTAGCCTTTTTTTAATCCTCTCTGCTGAAAAATAAAATGACAGTTTCTGTCTCCCTTCACCGCACACACCACCATTACCCTTGATCTGGACATTGATAGGTACAACTGAACAGCCATGTTCTTCAGAAATTGCTGAGTTATATAGCATAAACATGCAGAAACGCACACAGATGAGACACATAGACACACCAGAGGAAAAAAAAGAGCAAGACACAGCAGCAAGAAACTTACTCTCCTGGCCACAGTCAAACACACATCAGCATAAACAATGACACACAGTAGCTCATGAGTCCCAGTGACCTCTAAACATACTTACATACTGTACCTGCACAGGATGTTAGAAACAAGACAGAAACCCTCACCAGGAACACATCAACGCACAAAAAAAGAAGCATTCAGTTCAGAGTACAGCGGAGCTGTGCTGTATACCCCAAATTTGACCTTTAGAAATATCTTATTTTAAATTTCTTTACCTAGGTTTGGCCAGTCCATGCACACCGTAGTAGAGACATAAATGCCTTCACTTGATATGCTTAGAGAACTGTTACAACTATGAAAGTGAATTAACAACTGTCTTATGCTGATCACATACAGTATACTGTATATGCCCTAACTCTAACCTCAGCCTTTTTACATGTGGTGTCCTAGTGCTTACATCTGGGGCATTAACTGGGAATTCATTATTAGCTGGTGGCTACCATTTTAATGTGTAACTTTAACAGTATGTTGGCAATTTTGTTGTTGTTATGAACATTCTCAGTCTGCAATCCTGCCGTATTGATGTGCTTTTGTACCTTTTAATGTCTTACAGGGAGAGGAGTGAGGCCATGTCACTGTATATTTTAATGTCTTACAGGCAGGGGAGTGAGGCCATGTCACTGTATATTTTA